TTTACCTATTCTGGACATTTCATATAAAAGGAATCATATGATATGTGGCTTTTTCCCCCTGTATTTTCTTAGTGTAATGTTCTCAAGGTCCATCCATGTTGTAGGATGTATCAGTATTTTGTGTTCCTTTTAATTGCTGAATAGCACTCTATTGTATGGATATATAAGATTTTGTTTATTCATTTCCCATTGGACATTTCGGTTGTTTCCACATTTTGGCTATTTTATATAATGCTGCTATGAACATTCATGTAAAAGATTCTGTGTGAACATATGTTTTTATTTCTCTTGGGTGTGCGCCTAGGTGTGGAATTGCAGGGTTCATACAGTAACTCTGCATTTAACCTTTGAGCAACTGCCAAACTGTGGAAAAAAGTTTCCCATGATTTTTGTTTACTAGAGTGGAAAAGCTCAGTAGAGATTACCTTTATTTGTTGATCAAGGATAGTATCACTAGTAATAAAACATATTGACATCACGAACTCTGTGATATGATACACTGGAAAGGACATGGCATAATTTCTGTGGTGCTTCTGCCAGAGATGTAAGGCCTCAGTTTAATCATGAGAAGACACCAGACAGTCCTGAGTAACTGATTAGTATTTCTCAGGGGTGTCAGGGTGATAAAAGAAAAGGAAAGGCTTAGGATTTATTGCAAACTACAGGAACCCAGGGAGAAAAGCCCATGTGGGATCCAGAAACAAAAAAGGACATTAGTGGAAGCACTGGTAAGGTTTGTAAAAGATCTTTAGTTTGGTTGATGGTGTTGTTAATTTCCCAGTTTTGATAACTGTACTATGGTTATTTAAGATATTAACATTGGGAAAGGCTATGTGAAGGATATATGGAAAATCTCTGTACTATTTTTGCAAATTTTATGTAAGTTTAAAGGTAGTTCAGAGTGAGAAATTTAAAAAGAAATCCAGTTATTTATTCTTGCTTACACGTCTGCAGATCAGCTAGACGTGGCAGATCATGGCTGGGCTCTGCAAGGCTTAGCTCCAGTCTACAGTTTGGGTCCAGGTCTACTCCATCCTTCTTGGACCAGAAGGCTAGTAGTGAGCGGCGTGTTCTTCTCATGATGATGGCAGAATACCAAGAGACAAAGCCAACCATGCAAGCATATTTCAAACATTTGTTTGTTGCATGTTTGCTAGCATCCCACTGGCCAAAGCATTTATGAGCTAAGTCCAAATTCAAGGAGCAGGAAAATACACTCTGCTGCTAGGAGGAGGAACTATAGGGTCATATGGCAAAGGGTGACATGCAGGGATGAAGAAAATTGGTGACAATGTTGCAGTCTACCACAGATCTCTGTCCCCCTAGGAAAAGCAGGAGTTGTTAAATGGGTCCTGGCCTGTGACTGAAGTCAGCAATAGTCCAAGTGAGAGTAAAAACTCAAGCATGAGTGGCCTTACTTAATAAGGATGGGGTTTCCTCAGGCTGGGATACTCAGCCTTGCCAAACCTACAGACATTGTGGGCTTTGCAGGCCTGTTTGTCTTTCTGGATCCCAATATTATTTTCTGCCTGTCCCCTTGCCCTGCACCCCCCAATCCCTTGCTCTTTACCTGAATATCTCTTGTGACTTTTCTGTGCTCTGATTTGCTCTTCTCCTGGGTTCTGGTACCTTGTGTTCCTTCACAGGGGCCCTAGAAGGATGCAGGTCAGATCACACTCTCTCTGTCTGACTTGGCCTGGCCTTTTTCCCAATGGGGTAGAAACATTTGAAATACTGTATTTGTGTTGCTTTTGCCGCTGCTGCTGCCATGAATGTTTTTGTTTATTTTAAATGAGCGTAACCTGTATTTTGAGTGAATGCTATTGTGGTTGCTTTTGGTCCCTGTGGTGCCTTATGTGAAGAGAGTAATTTGGGGATTTTTCCCAAATAAAATAAATTGATTCACATAAGACCTTAGTCTCTTCTTTAGCTGGATTGGCATGGCTTAACCTGTTATATCTGAAGCTTATAAACTTCAGTGCTTTTTTCTTTTTCCATTTCTAACTTTGATCAAAAGTCTGAAAATGTATGGTACTATCATTATTACTAGTATTTGTATCATTATTACTTAAAATAACTGTTAACATGACTGATTGTTATGAGTCTACCTGCCCTGGTGAAAATCCTTCCAACATACCTGTAGATCAGTTAGGGTTTCCTGTCTTTCATTTAAAAATTTTCACTGAAGAATTGAGAGTTCACTATATGCTGGGCCATGTAGTAGGCCCCCGAGGATGAAAGGATGAGTAGTTACACTAACTAGATAAATAAAAAAAACCTAAAATGTAACTAGTGATTGTGATGAGTGCTATAAAGAAAGGGTTCATGGTGCCTTTGGGGCCAGGCAGATCTAGTTTGTGGAAATAGAGGATGCTTCTCAGAAGTGACCCTTAGTGGGGACTGGAAGGGAGAGGAGATGGAGGCTGGGATTGGAAAGAGCATTCTGGGCTAATGGAATAACAGGTGGAGTGGCCCCTGGTGGGAGGCAGCATCATTCTTTCATGGAATTGAGAAAGGCTAGTGTGCCTAGAGTGAGGGAAATGGGGTTGGACAAGGCTGAAGAGGCGCGCGGGGGCCAATACTGTAGGCCCCATTGTCCAGGGTGAGGATTTCATCTTTATCCTAAGAAGAATAGGAGGCCATGAAAAGGTGTGAAACAGGGAAATGACGTAGATTTGTATTTTGAAAAAATAAAAATCATTCATTGTAAAGAACAATTGGGTGGGTCAGTTAAGTAGTTAATACTAGTGAATAAGAAAAAAAGATAAAGAAATAAATTATTAATAAAAGTATAAAATTATTTTTAAAAATAAAAAATAAAAAGAACAATTGGGTTCGGAGGTAGAAGAAGATATGGGAGGCCAGCTGGTAGGCTGTGGTCGGGTCTGGACAGGAGGTGGTGATGTTTCAGACAAACGCGGTGGTGGGAGGGTGGAGCCATGTAGCAGGAACAATCAACAGGTTTTGGAGATAGATTGGGTATGAAGGTGGTAGAGTACAGGGGAATATCAAGGATGATCTGCTTAGCATTCAGCCAAGAGGGGACTATGTTGTCTTGTCGGTTTGAAATCTCTCCAGGGGAGACAGCCTTTCCCATTCACATGTTCAGGATGAGATTAATACTAAAGAAATTACCTCTTGCCCCACAATCCATAGAGATAGCATAGAAGTTGCCAGTTCTTTGTTGTTCCTGTCAGTATTTGGCCTCATCTTCTTCAGTCATTAGTCTTATTTTCCTGTCCTAGAAAAATAAACCCAGGCTTCCTGGTGGTGCACCGAGCCAGCAACCCCTCTATCCCTTTCCAGTTCTGCCAGCCTGGTCTATTTCTTGACTGCTGTGGCCTGTCAGTTTCTGTGTTGGCACCTTTCCATGTAGGGCTCCCTCTGCTTGGTTCCCTCTTTTCCTAGTCTAGGTCTCACTTGTCTCATTTGACCCCCAACTTACCTTTATCAGGAAGCCTCCCAGAGAAGAGTTTCCTCACTCTACCTCTGAATGTATTTTTATCCTTGAAGCATTTTGGTTGGGGTTAGAGGGAGATCATTATGCACATACACTTAAATCTGTACATACACTCAAATCCATTTTTTCCTTTTTTTTTTTTTTTTAAGCCAAAGATACATAAACTCCCTACTGAAGTGGGGTGGCAGGAACAGAAGCAGCATATCATGGTGTGCTGTATCCATGGCTGCTTGGTTGGAGGTAGAGTGGCTGGTAGAACTCAAGAGTTCACTGTGGTCATGCCAGAATTGAGAAAATTGAATTGTTGCTATGTCACTACCCTTTAATAGTCAGGGCTTACCTGGTCATTCTGAGAGAACATGTGCTGTGGGCTTTCCTGGAAGAAATTTTTTCAGATTATTATAATTTTTGATCCTTGAATCAAACTTAGCACTACCAAGGTGATGACATCCTCTGGCAGGAGAAAACAGAGTCCAAGTGCAGGTGTCAGAAGCACCATCTTTGCTTCAAATTTCCAGTCTCCTGAGAAATCCTCTCCCTGAAATTCTCTATCCCTGCAGCTATTAACATTCATCTTTATATTCCTAGAACCCACCCAGTGGCCTGGTGTGTAGTTAGTTGCTCAGTAAATATCAGTTCCATGAGTGAATGAATGGGTGTAACATTCCATTTTTAGTATGTGATCTTGCACAGTTGCTTTAAAACTCTCCTTCAGTACTTTTGTGCGATGCTGTGAATAGCCCATACATTCACAACACTTGTTTGTTTTCTTAGCTATGGATCGGCTCCTCTGAGATAGGTGGGTGTTAAGTTTTCAGTTTCTCTTGGCTCCACTCCCTGCCTCCTTGGCTTGCTCTGTCCTCTTATCTTCTAGTCCCTTCCTTTTTCCTTCTGGTAATGTCAGGTGCCATACATTTTATGTGCCAAGCTGTGGCTTAATTTTTTGTGTCAAGCTCTGGCCTAATGGGTGGGAAAATCAAAAAGGAAGAGATACATACAGTCCCTTGCACTCAGTGAGGAGGGAGCCTCACAGAAGGAGCCCCATAGACGAAGTGGTGTGGTGTGGTGTGAGCTCGCTGGGACAGCAGGCTGTCTGGGGTTCTGTGGGACTGTCAGGAGAAGGATACGAGGGGGTCATGGAGGAGACAGAAATGTAACTGTGTCCTGACCAGTGAGTGGGTGAGCATCTACCATTCACCTGCTGCACATAGCAAGAAAGCTTATTAGCTTAATTTAGAGAAAACAGACTAGCTTAAAATTTCAGATTCTAATCAGGGGATGTTGGTCTCTAGATTGAAGTGTGTATCCTCTTGCTCACCCTGCCTCATTCCCTTACAGATTTCCTTATAGATAAGCAAAAGGAACATATGTGAGTGATGTATGTGTCTTTGAAGGAGAGAGATGGGTGGATTGAGGACATAACTGAGCACAGCAGTCTGATCTTCATGAATGAACAAACTGTTGGTGTTTTAGCCATTCCATCCCAGTGTGCCTCCAAGGATGCTGTACCTCACGAGCCTTTTCTCCTCTTGGCTTTTAGGTCAGGCTGTCCCTGCAGGATCGCATGTGCGGCTGAATCTTCAGACTGGGGCAAAAGAGGTGAAACTCCAGTACGAGGACAAGTTCCGAAATAATTTGAAGGGGTTGAAAAAAGGCAAAAGGTACAGTGTAAACCCTAGAGACTGGGAGACTAAGTGATGCCATTGATTTTGTAATACTGAAAGTGTTACCCAAATGCATGTGGCCTTTTTTTAAAATTTGAAATTTAATAGCATAGAATTTGTGATAAATCTGTCAGGGTTTTATGGAAGTTTACTTTTACAATCTTTGGAAAGAAACAGTTTGCAAAGCAAATTGATACTTTAGAAAAGGTTGTAGGGGGGGAATGCTTAACCTGCTTTAAAAATGAAGCTATTTTTCCCAGTACTTTAAGAGCACCCATTTGAATCCCCACAATTAATGTGCTGATTACAGATGAGTCATCTATTCATTAAAACAGCCCTGTTAGGTCTTCTGCTTTGCAGTAATACTTCCTTGGTGAACAATAAAATTGCATTTTAAAGTCTTTAATTCAGACTAACTTTTCCTCTTGTTAGTCAGTATTAAAATAGGCTTTCTTATAGTATAAAAGGAGAAGCTACTGCAGTTCTCTAATGGTTAGAGGTTTCCTTATTTTTTAATAACCAGTTTAGATTATTTGATTTTAAGAGAATTCACAGTCTCTATTTATCTGTTTGTTGTCTTGAATTAACACATTTTCTGTGGTTGGTATTTCCAGAATGAGAGGGAAGAAGGTTGAGACATAGGGTTGCTGGAATTGTGCAGTTTTAAAGCTTAGTATAAAATACCAGCCTTAAAGTTTCTGACACAGGGACCAGCAAATTATAGCATGCAGGCCATATTGGGACTGCTGCCTGTTTTGGTATGGCCTGAAAGCTAAATTGGTCTTTATGTTTTTTAATGGTTGGGGAAAAAAATCAAAAGAAGAATAATACTTCATGACTAATGGAAATTTATGTGAAATTTGGATTTTGATGTCCATAAAGTTTTATTGGAACACAGCCATGCTCATTTGTTTACATATTGTATATGGCTGCTTTCTTGCTACAATGACAGAGTTGATTAGTTGGGACAGATAGTGTAATAAGGCTCAGAAAGCCTAAAATATTATCTGGTCATTACAGAGAGTTTGCTGACCCTGTTCTACAACATGTATGGATCGGGAATTAGGGATTAATGAGTGGGGTTAGTGTTACTCAGTCCTTGGATTTTTATTATTTTAACAATATTTTGCAGTTATATATGAGTCAGAAAGGGACCTTAGAGACCCAATTCTTACCTTAGTCTTTTCCTTGACATACCTGACAAACAGTGTTTCAGCTGGTGCATGTGCACTTTTTGTCAGGTGGCACACACAACCCCACAAAGATTTGGGCAGTTTTCACTGTGGGAGAATTCTGCTTTTTATGGAGAGTCATTTCTCCTCCTTACAGTCACCCAGATTGGGAAGGATCTTTCATCTGCGCCTATCTCTTCAGACAGGTCTGTACCTGGAATAGCCCATGTCCTGTGATTTACTCTTTTCTCACAACCATCTAAGAAATAATGAGATGTCATTTCTGCAGCCCCTGCCCCCCCCCCACACACACACACTCTGCAGTGTCCCAAAGCACTTTCAGGAAGTCTTTTCTTACATCTAATCCAAGTCTTATTTCTGAGGAAAAGATCTGGTTTTTTTCTTCTTTTTTCTTCACTTGGCTTAAGAATATTGAGTTAGGAACTCGATTAATGTGGGGTTTCTTTATTTGTTGGTTTTTATACCATGTAAAGTCACTTCTTTACCGCCTGACTGTAGATCATCAGTAGGAGCACTTACGGCTTTGTCTGTTGCTCATATCTTTTGAGAACAGAAAGCAGAGCCATCCATGTGGTCTGTAGAGATGCACCACAAGGAAGAAATATTTGTCCTCACTGCTGCCTGTTTCCTTTTCTCCTTTGGAGTGTTCTTGAGGGCTGTGCCCTGTATCAGCTCCCAGGATATGCTGGATGTTTCGTCTTCCTTCTCAGTGTTTATAGCCAGTAGCAAAGCTATCTGAACAGAAGCCCAGAGGCACTGGCGAGGTGGTGGGGACATTCACCCATCTCTGGCTGCCTTTGGGGGACTTCCTCCTCGTGAGATGGATGGAGCTCCTCCAATTTCATTTCATGGTGTCTTCCTGGCTCCTTAGCGCTGTAATGGGAACAGGGGCGTAAGGGCGGGCCTAACTCCCTGAAATTGTCATAATATTTTGCTTAAGCGCCTATTCTGTTTTGGAGGACAAAATCCACAGCTTCCCATCAGATTGTTAAAGAAGTTGGTGATCCCACAGAGTTATGAACACGTGGTCTTGAGAGAGGCAGGGATGTCCATTAAGCCTAATCCATGGCAGCCTCTCCGCTAGTCCTACTGGCTGTGTCACTGGCCACACTGCAGCCTAGAGCTAAAATGCCCGTGGGATCTAAGGCCTGGGCAAGAGACACTGTGACTCTAGCTTGTCTCAGAAGATTCTCTTAGCACTGCCTGGCTTTAGTGCATATTTGGCTCCTAGCAGCAGGTTTTTCATTTCCTTTTTGTGCTTTAGACATTGCCATCTCCACTGGTGTTAGTCCATATCCCTGTCAATATCTCCATAGTACAGCTCTCTTTTTGCCCGGAAATAACCAGCTTCTTTGAATCTTCCTCCTACGTTTGGAGGGCTGAGAGACAAACTACATTTAAGTTGTATCATTTTGGGTTGAGCATTTGCCAGGGTCTGATATGGCATAGTGATTAAAGGGTTAGGCCAAGGACGGGACCATTTGCTTGTTCTATTCACTTATTTCATAAAAGACCTATTGAGTGCCCATATGCCAGGCACTGAGGACACAGTAGTAAACAAAACAGACAGATGCCAGCCTTGTGGAGGGTGGCAGACACAAAACCAGGTAAATAAACATTCCAGTAAGATAATTACAGGTTGTAATGAGGTCTGGGAAAGAAATAAACAAGGTGATGAGTCCCTGGATGAGGCTGCTTTAGATAGGATGGTTTGGAAAGGCTTCATCAATATATTTGGACTGAGACCTAAAGAATGGGGAGGATTTAGACACACACAGGTTTAAGTTTATAGGTTTTTAGGGGGTTAGAGCATTTCAGACAGATGGAACAACAATAAATCCCTACCTTGTCAAGTTTGAGAAACAGGCAAATGATCAAGGTGATTAGAGAGGAGAAAGAATAAGACTGATAGGAGATGATATTGGAGAGGTATATAGGGGCCAGATCATGTGGAGTTTTCAGCAACATGGTTTTTTGTTTTGGTTTTTCTTTCTTCTTTTTTGAGACAAAGTTTTGCTCTGTTGTCTTGGCTAGAGTGCAGTGTTGTCATCATTGCTCACTACAGCCTCAAACTCCTGAGCTCAAGTGATCTTCCTGCCTCAGCATCCTGAATAGTTAGGACTACAGGTGCCACACCACCATGCCTGGCTGATTTTTTAAAATTTTTTGTAGAGAAGGGGGGGTCTCACTATGTTTCCCAGGGAGGTCTCAAATTCCTGGCCTCAAGCAATCTTCCTGTCTTCACCTCCCAAAGTGGTAGGATTATGAGGTGTTAGCCACCACACTTTGCTTTGAGGAACATGTTGAGTGTTCTTCATTCACCTTTAATTGTAAGGAAATACCATTGAGAGATTTTAGTCAGGAGAGTGATTTAATGTAGTGCAGTTTAGGAAGATAGCTCTGGTTGGTTGTTGTGTGTCTGGAGAAGAGATTGAAGGTGGACAGACAAAGCACAGAGATAATTAAGATGTCATTTCATTAGATCAGGCAGGACATGATGGTGGCTTAGTCTAGGGTATCATAATGGAGAGTGAATAAATTTGGGAGTAGAACCAACAGGACTTGTGTATGATTTAGATGTAGGGGTTGAAGGAAGGTGGAAGATATTCAGGATAAAGCCTCATTAGGAGGTTTGAGCAACTGGGTGCTTGGAGGTACTATTTATTGAAAATAATGGGGGGGGGAAGATTTATAGGGAGAAGAATTAAGAGCTGTGTTTTAGAACGAATAAGTCTGGTGTAGTTGCTAACATCTGAGGTACAAGATATATCAGTTATGTTGTTGTACAAGAGTCTGGTTGGTGCTCAGCAGAGAGGTGTGGGCCAAAAATGTAAATTTGGGCATCACTGGCATATAGATATTTAAAAATAACTAAGGGAGGGTGTGGAGATGGAGAAGAGAAGATTGTCCAGAACTGAACTCAGAGGCATTGCGGGATGTATAGTTCAGGCAGAAGGTGAGGAACCAGCACGGGTTGCAGAAGGAGTGAGGAAGGGGAGAAACCTGGGGAGTGTGGTAACAAGAAGCCAGGAAATGAGACTGTTTTGAGAAGGGACGGTCAACTGAGTACACGCTGCTGATGTTCATGGCATCAGCGAGGAACGTGAAGTTAGAGAAGGGTCTCTTGGATTTGGTTATCTATTATTGATGATTTCGATGAACAGTGTGGGTGGAGTTGCGAGGACGGAATCCAGATTAGAGAAGATGGCAACATAAATAGGAGTCAGGAAGATGAGGACAGTGAGTGAAGATTATGTATTCATAAAGTTTTACTTTGAGAGCAGGAAATTGGCATGATAACTAAAAGAGACTGCGGCATCAAAGGATTGTTGGTTTGCTGACAGGAATAATCCAATTGAAGGGAGAAATTGATGATGTGGGCAGGAGGGAGCAGTATAATTATGGAGTTAAAGTTTTTGTAAAGGCAACTGGTATCTGGAACGTAAGTTGAATAGGAGCAGGGTCACTGTCATCCATTATAATAGAAGGGAAAATAGAGAACATAGGTTTAGGAGCAGGTTGGCTTATAAAGCTGATGATGGGAAGACGAGGAAGTTTTTGATGATGATATCTGTTTTCTCAGTGAAGAATGAAGTGAGAACGCCGGCCGATGATGATTGTGTGCGCATGTGCGCACGTGCGCATGTAGTTGGGACTGAGTGCATGGCGAGGATGTGGGAGAGTGGGACTGAAGGCAGTGGACATAGACACAAGGTGCAATGGGATTACTCCTGACCAAGCCTTAGAAGAGGGAGGAGACAATCTGTTCAAGCTATGGCTCCCTAATACTTAGCTCCCTCTGTAGGGCACGGCGGGGCAGTGGCATCCTCATGCTGTTGGCCGTGGATGATGCTCTGGGGGAGAGAGGTTCGGGATTCTCTCCCCTACTTTGTAGGATTGTGGTACCAATTTGAATGAAATATTACTTTTAAGGGATTAACATACTGTCTGACACATGGTTAAGTGCTCAATAAATGGGAATTACTAGCTATTATTAATTAATTTAGGAGGACTGAGGTTTAGGGAAGACAAGTGTTTTTCTTAGGTCCTTAATGGTCTCTAGGATGAATGAAAGACTGAATGAGCAGAGTCTGAGTTCATGAGAGCTATGGCCTTGCTGGGATTGCAGACTGTGAGACTGATATGCCTGTCCTGCCTGGGGTAGAGCAGGCCAGTAGCCCCTTCCTCCTCCACCTCTGAAATCTCCTGGGTTAAGGATAACCACGGCCAGACAGCCTTGTGAAGCACACTTCACACTTCCCTTTGTCCATATTTCCCTTCCTCTTCCCTTTGTTCACCAAACTGAAATGAGTGCTAGTGGTAAAACCTTGCCCCTGATGAATGCCTTCTCTCCAGCCAAGATGAATGTCTGTGGCTTGGATCACCTCCAGGCGTCTTTGTGAGGATACCCTTCTAGTCTTTAGTAGTTTAGTGGGTTGGCACCCACATTGGCTCCTTTCCTTCTTCCCCTTAGAGGCTGGCTGTGGAAGGTGCCTGGCCTTGATTCGATTCTATTGGTATTGCAAACCCATTCCTTTGTTGGATTGACACATCCCTCTTGTCTCTCCTCCATGCTCAGAGGTTGGTCTTATGGTGTGAATCTATCCAACCCATTTTTATGAAGACGTGCTGGCTTGTCAGATCAGTTGGGGCACATGCTGGGGGGTAGGTCTAGACTCTGTTGTCCCCTTTCCCAGAAGAATATAAATAAGGGTGCATATTACTCCCTGTGTCTGTGCCTATTGCCCTCCAGGAGGTCCTGCCCTGACATGTGCTTAGGGAGCAGCATTGTGCAGATATTCTGGACTTACTTCTGCCAGAGCAGCTGGCTGAGAGCTCTCTTTCCCTGGTTCTGTCTGCCCCATGCCATTTCCTCTTCTTTCATGAACTGACCTCATCTTCAGCTGTGTCTTTCCTCCTCTAGCTTTAAGGTAAGGGCAGTCTGTTGGACCCTTGGCTGACTGAAGGCAAAGGTGTGATAGTACATTCAGTATGAGAGCTGGCCTGGCCTTGCTCACCTGGGGGTGCTAGCCAGGGTCATTTTCTTTCTTGCCTCCCTCTTCACTCTAAGCTTTTCTCTGGACAGGCTGGATGTCAACACCAACACCTACACATCTCAGGACCTCAAGGATGCACTGGCAAAATTCAAGGAGGGAGCAGAGATGGAAAGTTCAAAGGAAGATAAGGTATGTGATGCTTTTTCCTCTTAGCATAAGCCTAGGGCGTGGCGTTGGTGTTTTTGCAGAGAAAGGAATCACTCTTTCCGGAAGCTTTTGCAATAAATATGGAATAACAATATTGTAAACTAAAAGGCCATTAGTGACAAATAAGAAACCCTTTATGGACTATGGACTATTTAAAAAAAAAAAAACAGTCCTGGGGCATTTTTGTCATAGTTTAGGTTCAAATCCAACTTTTCATTCCATTTCTCCAAACAGCACTCCATGTTTGTTGAAATTGAGGCACAGAGCAGAGGTGGCCATGCTCTCCATTGTCAGGCTATGAGTGAATAGACATTACAACCCAGATCTCCTCCTCACTTACACTTGGGTTAGGTATAAGCTTGTTCCAAAAGAACCGAGGAGCCGGACCAGAAAGGAAGAAGCCTGGGTCCTTGTCTTTTGAACATGTAGCAAATGTATTCTTTCTGGGCCTCAGATACCTTAAATGTAAAAACATGGTATTGGGACAGGAGTGTGACTGAGGTTTCTTCCAGCTTTAGCTTTGACTACAAGCTAAGGGAATGAGAAGGAAAGGAAGAAGGGGCAGGATCACAGCCCCTTAGCTCTGCCCCTAAAGCCTGGGAGGGCTCATAGGTACAGACCTCTAGTAGGAAGAAACCTTATTCTTAGATGGACCATGAGCTCATGTAATAGCTAGAGAATGTCACAAGTCATTTGTGTATATTCCAGTTGAGTCCTGTCCCTGAAAGAACCTCCTCTGATTGCTGCCTGGAAGACCTAAGTTCTCCCTCACTCAGGAAAGATTTTAGAATACCGGAAAAAAAAAATTCTCCTTCTCAAAGTCCCCTTTGCCTTTATTTACCTCTCTGCTCTTTCCCCCAAACCCAGGTAATATCTTAGAGGGGCAACATTAGCTACTTGACATCTTGTATGGTAGTGGAAGAAGCCTTAGGTTCCTCTGATCCGTTAGGACTAAGTATTTCTGAGAAAATGAACCTTTTGAGGAGGTGCAGGGTGGGGTGGGGGAGCTGGTATTGGCCTGTTTAAGGTGTTAAATGCAGGCCAAGTTTCCTTGTCTTATCTTACCAAAGTCACATCTGCCTTGTAGAGTGTGTGGTGTGGGAAGGCGAGTAGCAGGATGGCGGTAGCCGCAGAGTGGGGAAGGAAAGTGACGCACGAAGTTGCATCCTAGCGCAGATGTGTTAACTCAGGCATCAGAGGATGAGCAGCTCCCCTCCTTGGTGAAGGTGGAGAAGAGAGGGTGGGTGCTTAGGGCAGGGATGGTGTTTTGGTGGCCAGGCTTTGACTTCTTTCCACTCACCCCCTCACAATGGGCTTCATCTGGGGCTAATGGGGACATAAAAGTCAGCCCCTGTTCCGTGCCTTCTTTGTGGGTGGAAGACCCACTTTACCCCTTCTCTTTTCTTTGCTTTCTTTGTATGATTGGATTTTCTTTTCTTGGGTAATGGCATTTTCCCCCCGTAATTCAGTTAATGTAGTAAAAGTATGACTATTTATGACAGTATTTGAAAAATATAAATGCAAAGGATTATTTAAAAGATTTTGGTTGCTGTTGTTTGCAATTAAAAATAATCCTCTCCTCTTGTGAGAGGATCCCAATACCAGCACCCAAATGCAAGATCCTAGCACCAGCTGACTTGAGTCAGCTGCCTACTTGTTAGGTATGGCTGTCACACTCTTCCCTTACTTCCCTGACTTCAGCTCCTTCACTGAGGTGCTGGGTCCTGGGGTCCTTCTGTTTTCATCTGGAGCCTGTCTAGATGGACTCAGCTCACTGCCATGGCACTGTCAGAGCTGTCTCTGGGACTGGCAAATAAATTGACTTGAAATTGGTTGGGGAGTTTCTTACATGTCTGAAACTCCTGGCTACAGATGCCATTATACTTTTTGTTTATTAATCTTTAAACCCAGGCTGTGTGGTATCTTGCAATATAGGATGGCACTTTTGCTATTTATGAAGACAATACTGTCAGATAATTGGTCATATCCTCTCAATTAAATGAGTGGGTTTTTTGGGACTTGATTTTTTTGGGAAAAGGACATCAGCTCCATTGTATCCATTGGTACCTTGGTAGATTTGAGTGAATCATTCCTTCCCAGAGTTCCTTGCTTCTTAGAAAAGCTCTCTCGCCCAACAGATTCTGGTTGTTATTGTTTTTTTTTTTTTTCTTTTTTGAAAAATTTATTCAAGTATGTACGTATGATACAGAGTCTCACTCTGTCGCCATGGGTAGAGTGCTGCGGTGTCAGCCTATCTCACAGCAACCTAAAATTCCTGGGCTCAAGCAGTTCTCCTGTCTCAGTCTCCCTAGTAGCTGGGACTACAGGTTTGTGCCACCACACCCAGCTAATTTTTTCTATTTTTAATAAAGACCGGGTCTCGCTCTTGCTCAAGCTGTTCTCAAATTCCTGAGCGTAAGCAGTCCTCCTCCTTTGGCCTCCCAGAGTGCCAGCGTTACAGGTGTGAGCCACCACGCCCAGCCTGGGTTGTTATTATTGACTGTCATCCATTTATCCCTCTGTTTGAAAACAAGTTGCTTGATACATTATGTTTTATCATGTCGGTTATTATTTACCTGTATTCTACAAATTTGTTCCATTTTAAAATATGTCTTTCTTAAGCTTATGATTCTTGGCAAGATACAGTAGATTCATTTCTCCCTATTCCTCCAGCTAAGGGTAACTAAAAACCCTGGACATAATACTAAAAGCAAATATAGGAAAGCTAAAAGGTATTAAGAATTCAGCAGAGTGGCTAGGAGTCTTGAAACCTGAGGAATGACATGGCAGTGAGTTCCATAGGTTTTCTTTTTGTCTTCTATATATTCCAGACTAAGCATTGAAGAATCTCACATCCTGGAAATGCCAACTGGTGCAAATTTTAAAAAGCACTAAGAGTATGTATATTGCCCTTGCCTACCCCCATAATATGCTGAAATAAAAAGAAGCACTAAGATAAACCTGTTCTTTCTAAACAAAGGATTGGGCAAGGGGCACCCTAATAGGACAAAAACCTTTTTTATAGTACCTGTCCTACCCTAGCCAAAGACTATGGAAATCCTCTCACCCCCACACTTAATGCCAGTGGACATTGAGTGGGAAGCCTGGACTTCCCCTTCCTGTTTGGATTTTGTAGCAAGCTGTACTCTGATTCCTCCACCAGGGTCAGCAGAAGCCAACTGGATAGCCTGAGCTTACATCCCTCCTGATGGCAACAGGTGGTGTGAGGCAGGCAGTGCTCTGCTTCCTCCACCAGGATATTGTCAGTGGGAGTTGAGCAAAGAGCTTGAAGTTTCACCCTTTGCCCAGTGGCTACTCTCTGCTTCCCCTGCTGGTGTGGTACCCGCAGAGACCAAGTGTGGATCCTCACTTTCTACCTCCCATCTGGGGATAACAGGCTGCTTAACCTCCTCGGGTGGTGTCAGCAGAGGCCAAGTAGGAAACTTGAATATCTGTCCTCTGCCTGGCAACACTAAGATGGCTTTTTACTTCTCTCTGATGAGATGGTATCAGTAGGGGTGAATGAGGAGTCTATACTTTCACCCCCAAACTTGTGGCAACAAGGCAGTGTGAGGTAGCATTCTGCTTCCCTCTGGGGTAGGAGCAGTCGAGCAAATGAGGAGGATGAACTTCTACCCTCAGGCCAATAGCCGTGAGGCAGTGATTTGATTCCCCCACTAGGGTGGTGCCACTAGAGGCCCAGGGTGGAACCTCAACTTCCACTTCCAATGTCCAGCACCTTTTGCTTGCGGGCAAAGCTGATTCCCCTCCCAATTAGAGAGTAAGGGTAGGATTTTGGGGAGAAGGGAGCTGGAGAATGGAATTTTGCTTATAAAGTCCTGGACATATACCTTAGTGACCCACTCAAGACACTGACCATAATTAACACAGCAAAGGGGTTGAGAAATGAACTATACCTTGAAACACTTCCCAGGTTTTTAGATTGACCTTTGGGTAGCACACAATGGGGGTAGATCAGAATAGCACTACAAATGCTCTGAAAACTAAGTATCGTTGGAGCCACAGCCCACACAAGTAAGCAGAATCAGCATACTGAACGTAAATAGAATGATTGCGTATTGAAAAAGAAGATAAATAGGACTCATAGTCTCACAACTTAATGCCCAAATGTCCAGGATACAATTGAAAATTACTCATCATACCAAGAACCAGGACCATCATAACTTGAACTAGGAAAGACAATTAACAAATAATGGTATAGATTGAATGTTTGTGTTCCCCGCCATTTCATACATTGAAACCCAACCCCCAATGTGATGTTATTTGGAGGTGGGAACTTTGGGAAATAACTATGTTTATGTGAGGTCATAAGGACAGGGCCCCCGTGATTTGATTTGTGTCCTTAGAAGAAGAAGGGTGACCACACCACTCTTTTGTTCCGCCATGTGAAGACACAGTTAGAAGGAGTCATCTGCAAGCCAGGAAAAGAACCCTTGTCACGAACTACATCAGCCAGCACGCTAGTCTTGGACTACCCAGCCTTTACAATTGTGAGAAATGTCTGTTGTTTAAGCCACCCAGCCTGTGGCATTTTGTTACAGCAGCCTAGAGCTGGCTAAGACAGATGCTATAATAACACTGAGATGACTCAGAAGTTGGAATTATCTCACAAGGATTTTAAAGCAACTATCATAAAATTGCTTCAACAGGCAATTATGAATACTCTTGAAACAAATGAAACCTCAACATGGAAATGGAAGCTATTTAAAAAATGAAATGGAATTATAGAACTGAAAACTATAATAACTAAAAATTTAAAAGTTACTGGATAGGCCCAGTAACAGAATAGAGATGACAGAGAAAACAATCAGTGAACTTGAAGGCCGATAAATAAAAATTATAAAATCTGAATAACAGCAAATAGATTAGAAAAATAAGTAGCAGAGCCTTAAGGACCTTTGGGACCATAACAAAAGATCTACCATTTGTGTCACTGGAGTTCCAGATGGGAGTAGAAAAGG